TTAGTCTCAAGATTGGACATCTGTATCATTACTACGAATAGTGTTCAAATTACACAATTGAAATTAACTTCTACCTATTCAATGTGAAACTTAAAGTGTATGTGTGTGAATATTCATGTAACCATCACAATTTCATGACTAGTTTGGTTTCCAACCTGTAGTAGCCAAATATATCATTTCTTCACTAAGACGGGCATTTCCCTCAATGTACCAAAATATGAGTATGGAATGCAAAAGTAAAGAAAACTCCCTTAATCAATCGAATGTTAGCGGCAGAGGAGAAGGTATGTAATCTCCAAAACCATTAGGGATCAAATGAGAAGGAAGGGGGTATGGAGACATGCGTACGAAAATCTCTCTCAACAAAGTGGACTGCTAACCCATCTCGGCCTGTATGTTGTTTATCATATCAAAGCTCTGATCAATCTGTCCCTAATGCCCCAAATCATGTCAAAGGATCTATCAACCCACATATTAAGCTCATAAATCCGTTCGGCTTATCAATCCATCTAGTTGGTGACCATGTCGATCCTTCTGCTTGCACTAGAAACATGGCCTACATCAACATCATTCGATAATGTATAACAATGGTGCGGCAGTCCATGTGATCAACCCTCAAATCCAAGGAACCAAGCATCTGCACTATTTGTAACATGCCCTAGATGGTCTCAATCGATCCAACAAGTAGCTGTCGTAGGAACATATTGTCGATAGGAGGACCTAGTTGTTGGAGCTGCTGGCCTATGCCCTCTTTCTTCTGTTGTTGTTGGCGCTGCCATCCCTCGAAGATATTTTGCCATGAATTTTCCATGGTTTTTTAACTAATAGTAACACTAGGTAAGGCTGGTTGTTCTGGAGAAAGGAGTTGCACCCCAGATATTAAGCAAGTGCCACAAATAAGGCTGGGAAAAATCACTTTTTGACATAATTGCTATGTGAAACCAAACTCAACAATCTGATTGTAGACGAACATCCCCAAATCAATTTTCAAACCTTGTACCAAGTGAAAAAGAAGTCCCGCTTTAGTAAATTTGAAATAGATACATGTGAGGTAGGCTCAATATTATGGCAGATCAATTTCATCACCACCTACATAAAATGAGTCAACATATTATACTGAAACTCCTCACCGACCTCTTCTTGTCCCCCGTAAAGCATTTGAACCATTAAAATTATATCTTGTTCCATAGGCACTGGGACGATGTGATCTCGAGTCAGAACATATTATGCATCAATGACCTCGGGGTAGATATCACCCATGTGTCTTTAACCCATGTATAGTGCTCATGATATGTTTTCTGGTCGTCGATCTCTCAGTTGAAGGTTGTATAAAATTCTTGAACTAAAGTAGGGTATATCCGATATGGCTTTTCTATAACCCTTGCCCATTGTGCTCGGCCAATAAGAGTAGTTATTTCATATCCCTCGAAATATCCTAGGACAACTTGTCTTTCCGGCCATATTTTCCTTTTCTGTAAAACGAGATCAAAGAGTCTTAGGTGATATGCGCTAATGAAGCGTTTCATTCTACCTTCATCGACACGTGTGCGTGTCGTGGTGCCAGAAGTGCCCATATTTTCTTTTTCTTTAGATGTGGAGACCACGCATTGTTGTTTAGGCGGCATCCTGGAAAAGTAACGAAAGACTTAATTAGTCCAAGTGTGTAGTAAAATAAATGCTAGAGTTATAGTACATATGATGGAAGAACATGATACAGGGTTTCAGCCGCAGTCTAGGGACGAAGGGAATGCAAGGTAAAACTTGTCTCTCTCCCAATGTGGTGCATAGTGTGAAGCAAATGTGAATACAATAGAGTAGGAGCGTTCATCTAAGAAAACAAGAGTGTATTAGGCGAACTTGGTGCACCAATGTAAACAAACAATTCACTGTGGCATTTTAAGAAACATATTGTAGGCATGAATGGCGAACTAAGGCCAAAAGTGATATTGAATATGTGCAAGTCCCAATTAACACAAAAGCAACAAGAAAAACCAATCACTACTTAACCCAACCTCCATTTACTGCAAGATTCATACTACAATCCCTAAAGAACTTCAATAAAATGATAAGAGAAACTAACATGAGGTATAGACAATATTACCTTTGATTTATTAGAATTAGTGACATAGGTGAGGAATGATGTTAAATAGATGTATAAAGACACCTAACTTGAAGGCCCAATTGAAAATGGAAAATGGGAACTTAGTGAATGGTGTTTGGGGTGTGTGAAAATTGGGGAGAGGGGGATCGAGTTATGTGACAAGAAACCGGGTTGAGGAATTTTAAAACTCCTAACCCTGTTTCAAGGTCATGCCTAGTGATGTGTATGGCATGCGAGGCTCGCTTTCCATGGCAGGTGCGCTCCTGGCTTGCAGGCAAGGGCGTGCACCTTGTTTTAGGTCCCCTTATATTTATTTATTTTTCAAAAAATTTGACTTTCGTCTCCAACTCCCAATCGTGATTCTTGTGCATGGCATATGTTACAAAAATGCATAAAAAATGTGACACGGGTTGAAACTCAATGCCCATCTTTAAAAGCTCATTTTCATGTAGAATTAGCTCAAGCACCTCGAGTTTCACTTGAATGCATGCAAGTGAGATTTGAACTACCCCAAACTTATGCAAAATAAATATGATCTTGTGTGACTTGTGAATTGACTCAAACTACCTAAGTGATGAATGGATGACACCTAATCTATTTTAACACACCAAAATAACAAAAATCCTAATCTAATGCATCAAAGGTGGATAAATAAAAGGGAATAGAATTAGGCTGCCTCCCAATAAGCGCTTGGTTATATTCTACGGCTCAACTTTGTTGGTCAGGCTACTCTGCATTATTAAGTGGCATGGTTGTTTTCTCATTGGAGTAGTCACCTCCCCAATAAGCTTTCAATCGTTGTCCATTTCCTTTAAACCTCATTTTCTTTTTTATCTTGAGACACCACCTCTACACCATTATGTGGGAACAAAATTACGAATGTGAAAGGACCCGACCTCTTGAATTTTAGGTTTTCCAGAAAGAGTTTGAGGCATGAGTTGAACATCAACACTTACTGACCAACCTTGAACCCCTTCTTTCTTATATGCCTGGCGTGTCATCTCTTAGTCTTTTCCTTGTAAATTTTTTCATTTTCATATGAATCTACATGAAACTCCTCTAGCTCATGAAGTTGTAGAACCCTCTTCTCTCCAACTGCCTTCATATTGAAATTGAGCAAGTCTGTCGCCCAATATGTCTTATGCTCTAACTCAACTTGCAAATGACAAGCCTTTCCAACAACCTATATAGAGACATACCAATTGGAGTCTTAAATGTTGTTCTACCCAAACTGTGTTCTCAACCCAATCTTTACGTGATAATTAACTATAGCTTTAAGAATTTTCTTTAACTCACTGTTGGAGATTTCTACCTGCCCGCTAGTTTGAGGATGATATGGAGTCAAGACACGATGTTTCATTCCATACTTAGCCAACAATGAATAAATAGGCGGTTGCAAAAATGTTTCCCACCATTACTAATAATTGCCATCGAGGTGCCTTACCTTGTGAAAATGTTCTTCTTTAGAAATTAAGCCACCACTTATCCATTGTTAGTTGGAAAAGTCACAGCCTCAACCTAAACCTATTTAGACATATAATACACTGCTAGCAATATGTATTGTTGATTGTATAAAGAAGGAAATAGTCCCATGAAGTCAATGCCTCGCACGTCGAATATCTCAACCTCCAAAATGTTGTTTAAGGGCATCTTGTTCCTCTTTGAGATGTCCCTAATTCTTCCCTCCTCTTCCTCACACTCCAACAAATCCATTTCTCATATTACTTGGTCTAAATCAATTCTGCTTTTGCAGAAAAAATAAAGCTTTTTGTCCTCCCCCCCTGCTTTCAACCATCGACCAAAGCCACCACCATTCCCTTACTTCCAGCCATCGCCCAAAACCATCAACCGAAACCACCAACATTCCCTTGCCTTTCATCCACAGCCGAAATCCACCATCATTCTCTTGCCTTTGGCCACCCATCAACATAATCAAATCTTCCATCAAAACACCTCGAAACTCCATCAACATCATCAAAATGACAGTCGAAACTTTGAGCAAAATAGAAGTATCTTGGCTAGCCATAGCCACCATAAATTCAATAAAAATGGTAGAAATTTTGAGATTAAATCGACGAAATTAGTGATAGATTAGATGAAATTACCTCATCTTTTGCCATTGTTATGTCAAAATCGGAATTGAAAAGTTGCAATTTTACCTTAATTGGATTATTGACCCCCACTTTGGGTCTGTTGAAATCCTTTCCATGGGCTTATGATGGTTGGTTTGGGTTAGAGGACAATTTTTTAGTTTTGATTGGGAGGGGTGGGATGGGTGAGTGGAGCTGGAGTGGGCATAGGAAAGATGATGGGTTTGTCATATGCGTTTTCAATTTTTGGTCTTTCAATT